CTCCGGAGAGCTCCAGGCACAGCCCTGTTGAGGCCAAGGTGGGAGTGATGCAGGGAGTTTTGTCAGCTTTCTTGCAAAGAAACACCAAGTGTGTGTGAGGCACAGCAGCAGCCCTGGGCAGGGCAACATGGGTGCAGCCCTCCCTCCCGCCGAGCTCTGGGCTTTCCAGAGCCCTTCGAAGCCGCCGGTGTAAAACCTCCTGGGGCTGCTGTGGGGAGCGGTGCCTGCCCAGCCCCTGCTTGTGCCCCTGCAGAGCCCGGGAGCTGGGCGGGTGTCCTGCCACGGCAGCTGTGCCAGCGCTGGGGCTGTGGCACTCGTGCTCAGAATGTCTGGTTTTCTCCTCCTCCTCGGTCAGTCCGTAGGAGAGCAGCCGCCTGCTGCCGTTGCGTTTTCCCGTTGGGCACCGGGTCCCTCCGCACCGTGCCCCTCGGAGGCAGTGCTTGTGCAGAGCGCGATGCGCGCTGGATTCTGCACACGGGCTGTCACTGCACCAGCTCCCCTTTGTTTTATGCCACGATTTCTACCGAGCCGATGGAACGGGCAGGGAATGCTGCAAACTCCAGCTCCCGGGTTAAATAAATGATTGTTTCTCACGTATTGTCCTCCCCCTGCCCCCAGCTATTGCAGAGCTTTTTGCTTTAGCAGTCTGGGAGTATGAGGTTGAATGGCTTTTGTCCTAGGTCAAATGAATCCTGCCTTGCATGGTGTGTACTTGGCTGCTTTTTATTGTCTTGTCTCTTCCTGAGTTCCTCTGGGGTAAGTGCAGAGATTTTTCAGGCTTCCAGGGTTTTGCGTTGGTAGTCTGCAGCTTCACGCTTCGGTGCTTCATATGTAAGAACTTAAACAGTGGATCTCCCTCAGAGCACGAAACCGGAGCTCACATACTGTTTTTCAAAAGGCAAATGCGTTTGGCACGTGGTAAGCAACAGACACCTCAGCTTGGATGCAGGCTGAGACATTGAATCCAGCAAATATCGCTGGGAGCTCCCAGCCCTAATTAAAACTGAAACACTGTTTTGCTCCTACCAAGGCTGTCCAGCTGTGACAGTCTGAATGGGAGAGCTCAGAGACTGCAGGAAGGACTTTAAAACGTTTCCTTGAGACAAGCGGCAGAACCTATATCAACAAAAGAGATGCTTTAAATCCTGATGAAACTGATTTTTTTTTTTTTTCTGGCACTGTGTTGGAGGCTTAGGGTCCCTCTGGCTAAATCCCCAAGGAAGAACTCAGCTTTTGTATGGGAAAGGATGGAGCAATCTGAGGACAGGCTAAAACAAAGAATTAAAGTAAGTGATATTCAGCAACTAGCTGTTAAAACTGCTTTGAAAACTTCATGTATTGGGCACATGGGCTAAAATTTACCCCAGGGTGAAAGCTTGTTGGGAGGAGACTAGTTCTTGATTTGTTTGTCTTGCATCCAGCACAAAAAGGGCAAAGTTTGTGATGCTACCAGAAAATCACAGACAGCAGCTGCAATCCATATCCATAAAGTCCCCAGTAATGCAGAGCCTAAGAGCTGCAGCACCCAGGCAGCTCCTCTTCCCTGGCCACTCTGTGGTCATATAATAGATCACTACTGGGAGGTGTGCTGAGAGACCTGTGGAGAGGGCGCCTGGTGAGAAGTGGCTGTCTCCAAGAGCCAAGCTCTGGGCTTGTTCTGGATCCATGTCACAGCTTGGAAATGCCCAGCAGCCTCTGAGTTGAGTTTGGAGAAAAATGCATCAGGGCCAGGTGTTCAATATGCAATTTGACGTGCCAGCAAGTGACCATTTCTTGCCAATCACAGCAGAACTGGCTGAATAACTGGAGACAATTTTTGCTTGTTATTGCACAAGTTCAAAGTATGTCACTCGACAAGCCATAGGCCAGATCTTCACTGTGCTGTGCATAGCCATGGCTTTATCAGCTTTGGTGTTACAGCAGCGTGAGCTAACATCTGGCTTGTTGCTCTGCAGCTGTGCTCTGCTTACTGCTCCCAGCTGGGAAAGGGAAGTCTGTTTCAAAGGGAATAAGTTAGAAGAATGACAAAGGAAATGTCTCATGCTTTGTAGCATCTCTGCCACCTGTCAGGTATTCATGCAACACACGGGCATTTCAGCAGTTGTCAAGGTCTGTAATCACTGCTGCTTCCTTTTTATTTTATATTTCTAAAGAGCCACAGAAAAATGATGAAAACTAGGAGGAAAAAGTAACAACGCTGTTCTCCATCCTACTTTTTACTTCTATGTTTCAATGTTTAATTTTGAAAGCTCTCTCATTTTAGTCACTATTTTCTTATTGTAGGCAAGCAGAATCGATAGAAATATTGATCTTCTTTTAATGAGTTTTAAAAGAAAAAAAGAGCATGACTCAGGAGTGAGGTAGTATAGATTGATTGATGTGTCTTATTTTTTTCACCTACCTCTGATGTATCTTTTTGGAATTTGTTGTTTTATCATTTTCCTTGCGTAGACGGATACCTGCTGGTTGTGTGGTGTTGCTCGCAGCAAGGGTGTCTGCATTTGCTGGTGGAGTTTACCGCCTGCATCTTCATTTCCCTCAGCTTTCCAGCAGCCCCGGGTCATGGGATGCTCGGAGGGGAGATGACCTGAACTGGCTGGAGCTTGGCAGCAGGGAGGAGAGGTCTGGGGGAGCCTGGAGCAGGACAGCCGTCAGCAAAGGATTCTCCAGCTGGTTCCTGCAGCCTGGGCTGTTCCATCCCATTTCCCACTGGTGCTCCCTGGTCCTCCAGCACCATCTACAGTGCTCCATAGGCTGAGGGGATGCTCCAGTGCTGCCGGTGCAGCCCAGCTGCCCCTGGGACAGGATCAGCTGCGGAGCCCAGGTTGTGATTTGGGAGATGTTTGCAGCCTTGTCCGTTGTTTCTTGGCTTTCTGGCTGAATTGCTAGATGGGATAGGGGGCCTGGAGGAAAATATCCAAACAGAACAAAAAATCCCCCCCAGCTCAGCTGGGGTATGTGGTGCTAGTGTATCGGCTCACCAGGAGCTGACGGCCGTGCCTGCTGCGCAGCACAGCTCACATCTGTGGCACAACGCACGCAGCACTGCTCCTTGACGGCACGAAACCTCAGCCCAAACCTGCCAGGCAGGGCTGTCGTGAAATATTCATGAGAGTTTCCCTGAGTAAATAGCATTAAAAATTCATTGATCTTTTCAGCAACAATCCATCAGCCGTATCTTTCGGGGATGGAGAAGTATGTAAATAAGGAAATAATTTCTTTCATGAGACAGCTCTCTAAGCCTGCTTCAGCTACCTTTTGTTTTTTGAGACACTGAAATGGGTACTCGGTCTCCCCTCTCCTGGAGGGGAGGCTTCTAACACCTAATTGCAGAAAGGCTGTCAGTGTTTCTGGATGGGGTACAGTCAGCCAGAGAAACGGTTGGCACAGCTGGGGAGCTGCCTGTGCGGTGTGCTGGTGACCTGGGGCTCTCCACCGGGACTTGGGATGCAGCTGCCGTACCAGGAATCTCTGGTGATGGTGATGCTGTCTGACTGTGCAGCTCACTGCCTGCCTCTGGTTTCCATAACTTCTGAACTTGTGTTTGGGTGTTGGGAGTTTGATGGCTTTTGCAAACTTGGCCTCTAGTCTTGGAGGGTTTCTGGTTGGTAGGGAAGCAGGAGTTGTGAGCAGACCAGGGTCAGGACAGTCTTGAGTGCCAGGCAGGCGAGAGGCAGGTTTATGTGCAAGGCGAGTTGTGTGTTCCCCTGCCCTGAGCTCGGCCTCTGCCTTGCTGGAATAGTTGGCAGGACAGAGCCTGACGATCGCTCTCTGCCGGGCATCTGTACCCACCTCTGCTGCGGGCTGTGGCTGTTCCATCTGTAACTGCGGCCTCCCAGAGCTTCAGTGTGATTTCCCCCTCGCTTTCCTGGGCAACACAAAGAACGTGATCCCAGTGCCATCCCTGCCTTGTTCCCTGCCCGGTGCAGCGTGCCAGCTGGGCACCAGCAATGCTCATTGACCTCAGGTGCAATGGCCGCAGTGGCATCTGCTGGGCCAGAGGAGGAAGAGTGGATGCAGCAACACAAGTGATTTCTGTTCCACCCCTGCCAGGAGAGCTGTGTGATGGTAAGAAAAGCATCTTGTGCCTCAACATGGGACCATCAGTACCCAAGCCGTGGGTTAGAAAGGCTTCCCTGCCTGGCTAGCACCCTGCAGGAATCTTTCAGCAATAAGAAATTACATGCAAAATCAGAAGCCGCGCTCAGAGCTGCTGTTTGACCTTTATTACGCTGTGTGCTACAGCCAAAAGACTGCTGGGAAAAGCCAGCACCCAGGGAGGTGGGGCTGTTTCCCTTGGAGGTCTCTGTGCACGCGGGTGGGGAGAGCCTCGCTGAGTGATGGGGCCCACCAGCCCTCCCCAGCACATCCCTGACACAGCTCGCGGGCAGACAGGTTGTCCTGTATACATCATGGCTGACAGGCGCTTGGCTTGAGATGGGAGGGTGGTACGGAGCAGCTGCAGGCTGTCTTTCCGGATCTTTTCCTAGTGTAGGATGTTCTGTTCTGCAGGGTCTTGTCTCCCTGAATGCTCTGAGGTCTCCCTGTGCCCCGGAGCCCAGCTCCGGCGGGGCTGGCTGCCAGCCTGCAGCCCCCTGCTTGGACCGACAGGCCCGGGGGCTGCCGCTGCGCCCCGTGCTTCTCATAGCAGCCAAGCAAAGTGGTGGGAGAGGGGAGGGGCAGGGGGCAGCAGGTGGAAGATGGGTTTGGGAGCAGAGGCAGCTCACCAGCTGCTGATTGCATGGAAGGGGATGGGAGCATTCCCCCTGGGGCTCCCCAGCCCGAGCAACATGCTCCCGGGATCGGGGGGTGGGAGGGGGCTGCTAAGCAGTTACCTCCACCAGCTGCAAGGGCCCCGAAACAAGGAGTCTGTTCAGCGTGGGCACGGTGCGCGTGCACGGCATCGTGTCGGGAGCGTGCAGAGGGAAACCTGAGCTGGTTTGCAGGAGACGCGTGTGCTCGGCTCCCACGGCTCAGCAGCTGCCCTGCTCCGTGCCGTCATGGTGAGAGGCACCGCCTTGCCCCGCTGCTGCAGCAGCCAGGTGCTGGCGCCTGGAGCTTGTCCCCTTCCACCGGACCTGACTTTGCTGCTGATCTGCTCCCTGGGACTCCGCTCTGTCCCCTAGAACCCAGCCTCAGCTGAGCAGTGTCCCAACAACCCACCTCACATTGAGGACGCCGTGCTCAGCTTCAAGAGCCTGACAGCAGAGCTGAGGAAGGATGCAAGGAGGACACAGGCCTTCCCCGGACACGGTGGGTGAGCTACTCGTGGGCTTTGGGAACACAGGCTCCTCTGAGTCTTGACCTCCAGCAGAATCCGTGGCCTTAGCTCACCTCCTCCTGGCAGTGCAGGGAAATGATCAGGGGAGTCCTAGAAACAGGTGTATAACAACCCAGGGTCTTCCCCAGCAGGGTGGTAGTGCTGTGAGAGACAGACCAGACCATGTTAATCCTCTCTTTCTTTCTTAAAGCTTCTGCTAACGCATCTCTCGAAACTCTCTGCACCGTCAGGAGGCTGTTCCTGCTGCTCGGGGTCACAGGGGTGCTGGTGGGGACAGCGGCTGGGGCATGGCTCCTAGGTCAGTGTCTGCTCCCGGTCAGCTTGGGGGACCAGCAGCAGAGGTGGTGATGGGAGCTCCTCGGTCAGTGAGCTGCAGCTTGGGACAGGGGCATGTGGCTGCTGTGGGCTCTGCTGCTCGTTGCCATGGTCCCAGCAGCAAACTGCTGCTGTGCCCGTAGAGGGATTCATCCAACGGGCAGTGCAGGATTGTTTCCATGTTGTCTGTCCTTGGATGCTGCCCAGGCTGTGTGAGTCCACCTCCACCCCATTCTCTCTTTCCTGAAGTGAAACACCTGAAGAAGTCTCAGCCAGACCAGGGCTTCAGCCTGCTGCAGGAGCCAGATGCAACCCCAGCGTGCGGTGATGGTGAAGAGGAAGACCCTGTGGTCCGTGGGGCTCCCAACAGAGGTTTACAACTCTGCTGCCACAGAGGATGGGGAGAAGGGAGCAGTGTGCAGGACAGTGCCTGCCAAGAACAACAAGAACAGAAAAGATGTTCTTTAATAATGAGTATCTCCTGCTGATTCACTAGCTTCTTTCAGCTGCATTTTGTGATTGTTTCACTTTGCTTTTAAGTCCTGCTGCACTCTCCAGGCTTTGTTACATGAAGTGATCCTACAGCAAAGGCAACTCTTGCAGGACATCTTTGCATGTAATCACCTAGAGCTGCTATGCAGGCACTGAGAATATGCAAATAGGTTCATCTGTAGTTTCTAATTGCTTCAAATGGCTTTTTTCTGGGGTTTTGGATGGTTGTTTGGTTGTTGTTTGGTTTTTTTTTGCTGTAGATATGCACGACCATCCACTGTGCTGGCCCTGCACAGAACACTCAAGGAAAGGAACTTGCCCGTTTTCTTTAATGGAATGGCTTTAGTGTCTTTCAGAATAAACGCGGCAAACTCCTTGCTGGAAGCGCAGGTGGAAGGCCGTCCTGACTGGCTCTTGGTGTGCCATGAGCGCTGGAGTCTCTCCCTGGGCACCCTGCTCTGCCGACAGCTCGGGTACCTCAGGTGGGCACAGCAGAGGCAGCTGCTTTGGCCCCTACTCGCCCTTTTTCGAGGGGGATGACCTTGGCCAAAGCAGATGCTCAAAGGCTGGGAGGTGTGTCAGGGCAGCAGTGCTGGATTGCACAGCTCCCTGGTGAGCACAAGTGTGGCCTGAGCTGGCACGGGGACCTGCCAGAGGAGCTGCACATGCTGAGGAGGCTCATTTCTGGCTGCCAGAGCGGCGCGTCTGTGGACCGTTGTTGCCATGGCAAGGTTATGTTCCTGATCCCCTAGCAGGTCCCCAGCCCCTTCCTGGGACACTTAACCTGTTGCTTCTGCAGAATGACCCATGAGAAAGGAGTCAACCTGACGGACGTCAGGGTGAAGGACATGCAGGAGTTCGTTCAGGTGAGACCTCACCAGGAAGGCAGCCTGGAAGACATGTGGCAGGTCAGGTAAGGGCAGCTCTGGGCGAAGCAGAGATTCCTTCTGGGGCAAACTCACAGCCTCTTTTTCAGGCTTCAGAACATAGAAAACTGCCCTGGTTTTGTGCAGTAAGCAGGTCCTTTGGAGACTGCTGGGGCTGCCTAGTGCCCAGGGGGTTTTGGTTCATGGGTATTTTGACCAGAGGGCTTATTCCTGCGCAGGAGCAGCTGTGAATCGGGTCGAATTGTGGCTCTGAAATGCACAGGTGAGTGCCTCTCTCCTCTCCTGTGTCCCCAAGATCTGCACCTGGATCTAGCAGTTTCTTTGTTCCTGCTCCACCCACTTCCCTCGCCCTCCAGCGTGAGGGTCCGTCCGGCACCCGGAGCTTTGCCTGATGCGT